CTACATTTAAAATGGAAAATCAATTAAAGTTATCTATATAATGGGAACCAAGGCAATTTCCCTTCTATAACCCACGTGATTTTATTATTCATGGAAAAATAACGAACTATAAAAATATAAATATAAGAAGAAAATTTATGAACTATTGAAACTTTCATTATATGAAAAACTACTACAATCATATATTATCACTCAAGCAAGCCCCCAAGCATTGCTGGATAAAATGTTTTTACCACTTCCACCAATTTCTATCTTTTGAAACTATACATATAATTAAATGATTCGGCCTAGTTAATTTAAAAGCAGAGGCCCAACTACAAAAAAATTATAATTTTAGCCAAACCCATGCAAAAGGCCCAATTACAAAACCAAAAAGCCAAAAAAAAAAAAAAAGGGAAGTCTACATAAATCAGGTTTTTATTTATTACCATTTCAAAATTAAGATTAGATGTTTTAAATTTCAAAAATCAGGGTTTTATTTAAATTTATTTATGAATTACTTAATTAATTATATGTTTTATTAATCAATATATAACGGTCACAGATTTATACAATTTGGTCACAATTCAAAAATTTCATAGGTTACAATTCATTCATCGGTCGCAACGTAAAAATTTAAAAGTCACAATTATTTTATCGGTCATAAATCATAAAATTTTTAAGTCACAACACTTATTTAGGTCACAAATTATCAATTTATTGGTCACAATTAATACTTTGTAGGTCATAAATTAATAATTTTTAGGTCACAATTAATAATTTTTTGAGTCACAAAGTATTTCTTAGTCACAATGTATTATTATTGGTCACACACCAACAAATTTATTGGTCACAATTTGTGACCACCACCAACACAACATCACCATCGTCAACACCACCACCACCACATCCCAACAACAAAATCCCCATTCCGATGCCGACATTTTCACCACCACACCTTCATCGCCACCGCCACACAGCATCACCGTAAAAAAAAACCACTGCACATCCACCTCCACCGCACCATACCACCACCTCGCACAACTCACACCACCACCTCCACCGCACACAGCAGCACACCAGTCACTGCACCACCACCGCATCTGCAGCACCACAAAGCACATCACCACCGCACCCACCACCGCACCGCACACCTCCACCACCGCACCGTCATCACCACACCACTCAAAAACTGAAAAAAAAAGGGGGAAGAAAAATGCACTGCGAGCGGAGCAGATCGCGAGCGGCTCCGCAAGGGTCAAATCGCAGCAGAAACGAAGAGAGAACGAGGGAGATGGAGAGGAGGTAGGCTTGGTGGCGACTCAGTGGGCATGGTGGCGGATTGAAATTAGAGAGAAGAATGTGCTTGCTATTAAAATGCTATTTCGTTGGATCTGCGAAACCCTAGTGAAAGAGACGAGATAAAAGTGGAGATGAGAGGGGGAGAGAAGGAAAAAGAGCAGCCACTGCCGCCAGCGACGTAGGGCAGAGAGACGGGAGGAGATGAGAGGTGATAATTGATTTTAGGGTTTGAATGTTTGATTGGGGTAGATATGGTAGGGAAATATATATAAATTAATTTACAGTGTATATAGATATAAAAATAAAAATAAAAAAATATTTTTAATTTTTTAATTAAAACCTGATTTTTGCAATATGATACTTAATTCAAGATTTATGAAAATGGAATTCTAAAACCAGGCCTAGATGTAATTTCCTCAAAAAAAAAAAAAAAGGAAATTAAAGGCTCTCGGCCCAACCTAGGCAAAAGGCCCACTTACAAAACCCAAAAAAAAAAAAAATAGAGAAGGAAGAGGAACAGACACAGTTACCAGTGGCGAAGCCGAACCTGAGGATGAAATCCTCGCATGTGCGCCTATCTCCTTCTTCTCGGCACTGTTCCGGCGGAGCGCAGCACGCTCGATTGCGCTCCTTCACCAAGTGTTGGGTCCGTTGCTGTTTGAAACCACTAAATAGTTAAATTAAGTTTATTTTGTATTTAACGTCAAAATTCATGTGTTTAGTTAGGAGGTTTGACAATGATTCCTACCTTGTCCATTGAAAAAGTTAAAAACAAGGAATGTACCAATCTTTCCTTAAAAATTACGAGGGGAGAAGATAGAGAATTATTTAAAGCTACCCAACCATATTACAAAAGCTTGAAACAAAATTACATCTATGAGACCAATCAAGGAACCAGGGCACCATTTTTTTTAACACTAGTTGTTATCTCCCGATTTTGAGATCTAAAGAGGTTAGGCCACGTGGCATGACGATCAATAAGGAGTTAAGAGGAGGGCCAATAGGTCAGAAGTCCAAATAAGAAAATGGGCCGAGGTCCTTAACCCAGCAACAGAACCTTTCGCATTAATGAGCCTCGGCCTGAAGCACTTCCTCAAAGACGAGACACTAACCAATCCGAGGTTCTTTCAGGCTCGTCTGAAACTCATGAAATCGACGCTGCCTCACCCCATATTTGAAGATCTTTTTGAATTGATTGATATGACATCTGCAGTGAAGTGTCTGTAATTTTAATCATTGTCGGCCTATTACTAGAACGGCTGACCTTTAGTCAAAAATATTAAATGCAATGAGTGGACAATGATGTGAGGCTTCGACTTAGGGGATATCATCACGTGGACTTGATCCGACGATCACCACATCGGTTAGAACAGTATAAATAGCCACTCTTTGTACAGAAAAGGGTGTGGATGAATGCAAAGACAAACTCATTTTATTGAAACAAAGGGAACTCATCTTCTCATCATATCTATCCTTCCACATATTTCATTGTTATTTTGTTGAAGAGGAGATCATTGATAGCGTAATAATCCTGAAATATATTGTCAGAACCTTAACATCTTTGTCTCTCGCACGTTCACTGTAGTTAGATTACCGTACTTATTCCGGTAAAAACGTGCTGGATCCGTACCTGACGTGGCGAGAATAGGCCCGGCTTCTGTTGAAATCATTTTTGGGGTCAACACTAGTTTACATATTGATAAGATTGTGTCTTAAATATATAATATAGTTTTTTTCTTAAATTGATTTAAAAATTTGGAAATAGTTTATAATTGTGTAATAATACCAAATAAAGAATAATAGGAGAAATGGAAAGGAGCCGAATGCCAAAGAGAGGGGAGAAAATAGAGAATGGATGAAGTGTTTAAATTTGTAAACTAGGTCATATATTTTATCTTAGGTGACGTTTATATAGTTGGAGGGCTTGAGACAAATGACTATTCTTGGGAGGGAAACATGGGATCGAAGATACGAAGTCTCAAGTGCTGCACACTTTAACATTAAAAATGTATAATTATTGAAAGATGAAAGGTGGACGAGCTACTTCACATTATCGGAAATTAAGTGTCTGTTCTCTTTACCATTTTCAAGTAGTTTTCTGTTTTCGATTTTTCAAAATAGTGGAATCGCGTTTTTGAAAACAATTTAAAAATTTTAAAAAGAAAACACAAAATGACAAATTTGTCATTTTGAATGTTTTCAAAACAATTTTTTCAAAATACCAAAAAGAACACATTTTCAACAATCTCAAAATAAACACTCAAAATCCAAAACTCAAAATGAATTCAAAACTCAAAACACAAAACTGAAATATAAAAAAAAAACAATCCCTAAAGGTTTTCATATTTGCCGGTCAATTTTTGCAATATTTGGGTCATTTTGTCCATATTGGATTGGAATTATTGTTTAGTGCATGCAAAATGTCAATACTTTTACTTTCGCAAAAATTGGGAGAATATTGGGCAATGAAATTCAAGAAACCTCAAAATTACACCCTTCTTTTGGTTTCTTTTATTTAAAATCATAAATGTTGAATGTATACAAGTTTCTTAGTTGTAATCCATTCAAAAACACTTCTTTTGGTGAGGCTTTCCTAATATTTTATTTGTAATTTATTTTTTGATAAAGTTTTCTAGTAAGTATGTTTTACACGCTTATTCGAGCTTAAATATTTGCAAATTGAATGGATTTCTACTTAGTTTGGTGTAAATGTCATAAATTTAGGAAAAAATCGGACTCACGGGTATTCAATTTTTTTTTTGAAGATTTTGAACTTAATTGAAGTTGGTTTGTGCCAATTGAAGACAAACCATATTGCATGGAATTAATAAGAAGCATTAAGCCTGTCTGGTGACCATTTTTTTGGAACGAAAAATATTATTTTGAATGGTGAATTTTTGGAGAATGCATGGTTAAAAAGTATGGAAAAGTTTGGGGTTTATGAGTAGAATATTTTATTGTTTAATTGTGTTGTTGAAAATGAGTATATAGAAAAAAGAGTTTTGAAAGAATGTGACACAAGCATGGGTTAAAAGAGCAATTGGAAGAAAGTCACAAGTTTCAAGAGTTCAATTCAACTTATAAAAAGTTCAATTACTGATATGCACACTTCTGGAACTTGTGGACAACCAATTAATATAAACTAATATATTGATTTATACTGCGTAAATTTGACTAAAAAGATTACCTCAAAAAAGGGAGTTACGACTTGGTAAATATGAACCATTGAGTCAACTAGTTACACAATAATCCAGTAAACTTTTAACTATAACATATATGTATCCAAAATGGGAGGTCGTAAATAAGAAAAACAATGATTCTGATTCGATTTAGAGAGAGAAGATTAGGACTTTGTGAGAGATCGTCGACACGTAAGAGTCGTTGTGTCGACGATTTTTAGGTGGGGATAGAGATCGAAAGAGAAAGAGAGTCCAGCGTGGATTTGGATGTGTCGATGATTGGATGATTTGATGGAGTCGTGGACTGTTTTTGACGGCTGAGATCTGGGTTAGGTGTCAATCGCCTTTGACGCGTCGTAGTTGCATACTGTGTAGGGTATAATAGTGGTTCTCGGGTCGGGTCGGGTCGGGTCGGGCAATTTAGGGGAATAAAGGGCAGGGCAACTATTTGGAGGAATTGGCACGGCAAAATCCCCGACTCGAATACGTGTTTGGTGTTGCCCTTTACTTCCCTCCGTCCCGCTCCCTTTTCAGAAAAAAATGGCAGAAAATGAGAAGGGAGAAGCCCCAAATGCTCAAATCACACTCGAAGAAGAAGCTCTCTTTCTGAAAAATTTAGCAGAGAACAAGTACAGTTCAAAAAGACTGAAATCCGCCATCAAATACGCTAAACGAGCATACGAGCTGTACCCAACTCTCGATGGCCTGTCCGAGATGCTCACCGCCTTCCAAATCATCCAGACTGCAGCCAAAACCAATTTCGAAACCGCCCCAGAAAGAGACTCTCTCTCTCCTCCCGATTATTACAAGATTCTGCAGGTGGAGCGCTTTGCGCACATCAATACAATCAAGAAACAGTACAAGAAACTGGCTTTGACACTGCATCCAGATAAGAACCCGTTTGCGGCATCTGAAGAGGCGTTTAAATTGGTTGCTGAGGCGGTTCGCGTTTTGTCAGATAAAATTAGGAGGAAGGAGTTTGATATGAGGCTTAGGATTGCGATGCAGTCAGAGGCAGGTGAAGGAGCTGAGGGAATTGAAGAGATGTTTTGGACGGCGTGCTCGAATTGTATGTTGTTGCACCAATTTGAGAAGAAGTATTTGGGGCATAATTTGATGTGTCCTCGGTGTAAGAAAAGCTTTCAGGCTGTGGAGGTCCTGGAGAATTGCGAAAATGAAGAAAAGCTAGGTGTTGAGAAGAATATAGAGAAGAATGGAGCCACGCAAACTAGAGTTAGTGTTAGGATCAGGGAGAGGGTTAAGAAAGGTGGCAAACTAGGTGATTTGGACAAAGGTGGTTTTGGGGGGAAGAAAATTGCGGAGGTGTTGGAGAGATCAGGGCGGAAAGTAAAGAAAAATGTGGGTGGAAATGGTGGGTTGGCCATTAATTTTAGGTCGAAGAGAGGGGAAAAGTTCAGAAATATTGGTGGAAGGGATACTCGTGGGAATGATGGACTGACGTTGAAGAGTGTAGAGAAGGTGGGAAATTTGAAGAAGATTGGGGAGTCGAGTAATAGTGATGGTGGTTTGATTAGGGAATTACTGTCGACGAAAGTGGGGGGGAAGGTAAGAGATAGGAATGAGGAGATGAGGAGCATTGAGGTTGAGGTAGTAGAGAGTCAAAGGGCCAAGAGAGCAAAGGTTCGGGAAGAAGAAATGATGACTTTAGCTCAAATGCAAATGTTGGTAAAGAGGAAGGCGGATGAGGAGAAGTTGAAGTTGGATGATGTTAATGAAAGACCAGATGTGGATGAGGAGAAGTTGAAGGCGACAGAAAAGGAAGGCGAAAAGGATAAGTTGATTTTGATGGAGAAGGATGGACAAAAGGAAAATGAAATTGTGAATTTGAGCAAGAAGAGGGTGAGACGCAGGATTTCGAAGGATAACTGTATGAATATTGTGAAAATAAGAGCTTTAGAGAGTACTGTAGATTTGGAGATTGAGGGGCTTAGAACATCGACAAAGGATGACTTGGAGATAATGCCCGTGGAAGATTCAGATTTCTACGATTTTGACAAGGATAGAAGAGGGAGGAGCTTTAAGAAAGGACAAGTGTGGGCGGTATATGACGACGACGATGGAATGCCAAGGCATTATGCACTGATTGACGAAATTGTTTCTGTGAATCCATTTGAGGTAACAATAAGTTGGTTAGACTTTCAAAATAATGGTAATGAGGTGTGGACTGGTTCAGTGAAAACGGGATTCCATGTTTCATGTGGGAGGTTTAAGGTTTCTAGGAAGACTTCAGTTAAGTATCTCAACATGTTTTCTCATGCTGTGGACTGTGAGAGAGCGGCCAGAGAACTGTATAGGATTTATCCAAAGAAGGGCTCAGTTTGGGCGCTCTATAATGAAAATACTTTAAATGCTGAAGGAATGAACCAAGGGGTTATGGATAAGCCATGCTTCGATGTTGTTGTATGCTTAACTAGTTTCAGCGACGTGTATGGCCTGAGTATTGGTTACCTTGAGAAGGTTCATGGGTTCAGGACAATCTTCAAGAGAAGAGAAATTGGGGCTACTGCTATTAGATTGCTAGAAAAAGATGATATTAAGCTATTTTCACATCAGATTCCTGCTCGGAAGCTTTCCGGAGATGAGGCCTCAGGCCTTCCTAAGGATTGTTGGGAACTGGATCCAGCTTCACTTCAATCTCAGTTGCTTAATGGCTATACTTAGTTGCATCTAGCTGGTGAACTAGAAATAGGGTTCTTGCAGTGAACTGTGGATGTACAATTCTTTCTTCTGTCGCTCTGTATATACCCTGCATGTAAGTGATTATTTGACTATATATGTAACTGTATTACTCCTGGTTTGCATTGCAAATTAACTTGTGCGTCCATATATTCTTATTTTCTTGCCTCATCCATACATCATCATTTATCCATATTGAGTGTACTGAAATGCTAGATGATATATTAAAAAAAAGTACCTATGAAATAGTAGGGAGCGAGCATATGCTGAAAAACTGTGGGTTGATTCCCCCAAAGGGAAATTATTTAGTCCGAGTCCTTGATTAGATGAGTTTATCTTGCCACAGTTGTGCCTTTTGGGTTTGATGCTTGAGCATAAAAAACTTTTCACAGGGACAAATAAAAATATCATTCGGTTAGTAATAATGTTTGTATGTATAACGAAGCATTAAATTAAGTGAATCCATAGTTCTGTGTGCTGAACTGTTCTTAGAAGTGAACTTTAATATCTAGATATTTGTGGGAATTGTTTACTCCTCAATGTCAACCTCAAGAGGTATGCCTGTAACCTTATTCTGGGGAAAATCAACACAAAAAGATCAGATTTAGGAAGAAAAGGAAGTACTTATATAGTGTTCTAGGAGTTTACATCAATCGGGTGTATAGTTTGGTTGCATTGTGGTCAGTGATTAGCAATGCCAAAGTGGAGTCAATTCCTTTTCTTGTTGGATGATTCTTTTCCTCTGTTTTTGCTTCTATCTCCTCTTTCTCTGGTTACATCAAATTTGGTATCAGAGCAGGTTGCAACTTGCTGTCTCAGGGAAATTTTAGCCCGATTTCCTGATTAAACTATTCAATGAGCTATAGGGAACATCATATATGTCCAAATAGAGCTATCGATCTTGTTTCTAAGGCAATCAGCGAGTTGCTGATACAAATTTTATAGATTGAGAAATTACCATTATTTTGCCAAGAGCAACGTCATTATTGTCTTGTGTGTAACAAAGGTCTGTGAGCGAATTAGAGACGTTGCTGATGTTAATATCCAGGCAGAGCTGGTGTAACTAACCTGATCGAATCAAACTTAGCAATAAACATAGAATGAGATTTTTCATACACTTTCTCCATCCTTACCTCAAATTCGCAGGAGCAACTTCACTAGTTTAAAAAGTTACGAAAATACTGATTCTTCAATCTCTTTTGGGAATTCGTAGTTGTCAGTTGCTGGTCCTTTCTAACAAAGTTTTTGAGTTATATGCTGGATTAAATGGGTCTCATTCCCTCCACCCGCCACCCCCTCCCTCCAGGCAGAGTGGATGAAAGTTCTTATGTATATGGTAAAAGATCATTGTTCAATCAAGGGGTATCTTTTAACACTGTATAGAATTGGCATGAACAATAGTACACTGGTCTTGCAGTTTTCTCCAAGTTGAATACTCAGAAGGTCCTGTAATCATAATGGTGGCATATGACTGAAGTCATTAATTTCCTCAAGACACGATGTCGAGATCAGTTTGATTTTATTTTCTCATTGGACATTTCTAGTTCATGTTTCATGTATGTCAGTCAGTCTTCAACATGAAATCATTGTTGAAACTTGCTAACATTGCACGTCTGTAAAAGTAGACAACTTGTCAATGGTATTGTATCTTTTTTTCTTTATTATTTCTACAGGGAAGATTGTTGCAGTGTGTCTATGGGTTTATAAAGCTGATATGTTCTTTAACCTGTCTAAATTGATTTGTTCTTGCAGAAGAATTGCTTTATTGAATGCTTCAGTTGATGTGAAGATAGTTGAGTAGGAAAAATCCATATACAGTTGGAAGAGAAGACTATTCAGCAAAAGTATGGAAGGATGGTTTTCTGTTCCTTTTCTTTGTTGTGCCTGCACACACCAAAGGTTAGTTGTTGGGGATCATTGGCGGAGAAAAGAGAAGCAATTAAGCACGGATACTCCTCATAGGGTGGAGGGTCGCGTCAGGAGTTGGACACCCTCGGGACGTGCATGTAGGATGCTCTACTTTTGATATATATATATATATATATATATATATATATATATATATATTGTTTATATTGTTTAGTGTTATTCAGACAAGGGACACTTTTGCGGTACGAGTGATGCTATATATGTACTATTTTGATTTTTTTTTAAACGAGGATTATGTACTCGACATGGAAAGCTCGTACTCTAGATTTTGGTGGAAAATATGAAGTATCCTTCTTAATTCTTGGATGGATTTTGGTCCCAAAAAATATCATTTGATACTAATATTTTAGGTCTTCATGTGGAGTGGCAACGAGCTGGTTCATGGGCTCTTACTCTTGATTTGACTTATGTGCTAGACGAGCTCAGACTTTTTGTGCCCACAAGCTAAGCTGGCCTGCTGCCAGCTCTTGGGCAGAGATCGTGATGGACCGAGCTAACTCTGTTCACGAGCTTATTGATTTTTTTTTAAAGAACAATGAATGCAAAAAATATATTAATTAATTAATTCAACGAAGGCAAAAACGGATGTACGATAAATGCGTTATCTTCTTGTTGCTGTTGATGGGGTCCGGTAGTGTAGGGAGTGTAGGGAGTGCGGATGACATTGGCTACGTTTAGGATCCATACCATATTTAGAGAGAGACTCATAATATCACCGCTTCAGGCTCCATCCAAGCACATGCATTGCATACACATATAAAGATACAAATATTTAGTACTGTTTTGAAGTATTCAGGAGTCCAGGACTAGCTTTATAGAACATTTTTCGGAATGAAAAATCATAAATGATGAGTTCAAGATAACAAGTCAAAGATGGCTGCCAAAAATGGATTTAGTAATACAATTTCAAAGTTCTAAAATTCTACTTGATTTACGGGTGAGATCGCCCTCTAATTGCAGTGACGCCCTGTTTTTGGGTCTGGCTTTGGGTCTGTCCAATAGCATAACTCTTGATTTACAGGCTATAAATCAGCGATTTATGATGATTTTCCTTCACCACATGGCATATTGACTACAAAAATGTTGGATGTACATTTGGTTTGACATTTGATGTGTCGCTAGAAAAATGATTGAGAGGGAAAACTATATATTTTTTTAAACTGTCGAATGATATGTTGTCATGTGATAAAGTATAAAAAATGATGTACATGTAGCATGATTACAGTGACAACCGTGGATTAAAGGAGTAGTATGTGTTTGGATTAATCTATTTGTACATTCAATGTGTATATCTTGAATGACATATCATTGGGCCCTTTTTTGAGCAAAAAATGCATTTTTGAATAATGTTTTATTGGAGATTGTGTGGTTAAAAAGAAAGAAAAACTTTCTGATTTACGAGTAAAATTATTTTGTAGTAGAATGTGTGGTTGAAAATGAGTTTTTACAAATTGAATTTTTGTAAAAATGGGGGCCAAACATAGGCTATGTATAAAAACCGAGACCATTGATTTAAATAAGTGTTGGAGAAATTAATGACAAAATTAATTGTCATATTATATGTTGTAAAACAACCAAGATACCATAATTGCTCTGATACCAATTTTTGTGAAACAAACTACCTGATTGAGATGTTGAAGTTATATAGCAAATAATAATGAAGTATATGATCACACAAAAGAATAATAAAGATAAGAATATGACAGAGGAATTAAGAGAAAATTATTGACTCAAAAATAATGGAGAAAAGAAAAAACTACAATATCCTATAATTCCAATAATTTATTTTCTAACACTTGTGAAATTGTATAGAAGAGCCTTATATTTACTAGGAAAATGTAAGGGACGTTCAAACCCTCTTGGTAAAGTTGTTGATAAGTAGGATGCCAAAAAATGGAGTCTAAAACGAAGTATGAGAGAAAACAGCGAAAAACTCGAACAACACAGTGGCCCGCAGCGCTCACCTTCAGGAACCTCAACGCCGCTGCTCCCATGCCTGGCACCGGGCAATCTGTCGAATATATATATATTAAATTATTTTTCAAGTCCAATACCAGATTATCAATTCCCAATAGATTTCTAAAATAGAATTTCAACTTGACATAAGATTCCAATAACATTCCAAATTGAATTCTCTTTGACGTGCACTTGAATTAAAATTCTTCAATACTTCAAATATTTCAACAAAGAATTCGAGTCACGCCCAAATTCTAACATCATGGAATGTCATCCACGATGTTAAATGTAGCAAAGCTGCGAGTGTTTTGATCTAATGTACGAACTCTAAATCTAGCTTAACCCGGTTTGACAGAGGTGTTCACCACCAGGTACTTGCTCTTGGATAATACCTAAGAAGGTTGAATGTTTGGAAGCAAAGAACTGTTCATAGAATCCAATCGTTCAAAAAAATCAATGAAGAGTATATTAGCGGTTCACGTTTATAATTCAATTGCTTAGGGAATTGATAAGAACGTATACATTAAATGTGATTTAATCGCAATACTACATAAATAGAATTCTGACTCTTGTTTTTATTGGAAATCTGAAAATAAATTTTTAAAACCATACTCCGCTGTGTATGATTTTAGATTTAACAAAAAATCACATCCTATATAAACTCGTGCTAGATATCATAGTTATATGAAATAAAATATATATGTACAGTGTGTACAGCAAACAAGTTGTGTATGTCAAACTGAGAGAGAATATTGCAATGAAAGCAAAAATTTTATTCTTATTTACTAGGTTCTATAGAAAACATGTTTTTAAGAATGCCCAGAGTCGCATGAAAATGAAAAAATACAAAGATGTCAGATTCCTACTCGATTGCTGCACATCTGGTTGCTTGATGACACTTTCTTTTCTGTCTCGAGTTCACAGCGATGTATCCATTTGCAAAAGCTTCTAGTGCTCTGGTCGTTGGCTGCCGGTTTTTTGTGCTATGCCTTTGCAGAATGTTCGTACTAGCTATCTGCTCGTCTGGTTGCCTGATGTATGTTTCTTGACATTTTCTTTTCTGTCCAGATTTTACAGTCAAGAATCCACTAGTCCAAGCGTCTAGTACTCTTGTTGTTGGCAGCCGGTTTCTGGTGCTCTGCATCCTCAGTAGATTGGTGTTTGACTGCTGCGCAACTTGTTGCCTTTGTTCACTTCCAATTTCCAGGGAAATTGGAGTCAAGTTTGGATCGACTGATGCACGAGTTTCTCTGTTCACTTGTAGCATTTCCCTGTCAGATTTAGGGGAGATTCTAGATTCACTCACCTGATTGAGTTTGCCATCAAAAATACTTGTATCGACAACTAAAGCTGAGTTACGATGATCTTCAATCCCGATCATATTATGTTCTCTGGCAACTTTGCTCAATAATTCAAAAACAGAATCAAAGTAATGCACTCGTTTCACCAATCCCTCTGAGAATTTATATCCAGGCACTAAAAATGTCTTTGAGTTAGCATTATACCCCTGATTCTTGGATTTCTCTTTGTGCCAACCTTTATTCTCTAGACAGTGCCAAATTGCTCCCCAGAATAATACGTACCAGGAAGCTTTGGTCAAGCGCTGATCTCCACGAAGGATATTTATCATTTCACCGACTTTAAGAGATGAGTATTTGTTGTCTACTGGCATCTGTGGGTTTGTAGGGGAAACTATTCCAAGGCATGCTGCGTTTACGAGGGTGTTTATCCCAAACATGGCATTCAAGGTGACAATGAGATATTTGAGAGACGTGTTTGTCTCTTGAAATGCCTTGGAAGCCTACAAAACAAACCACAAAAATTATAAGAAAGCAGAATTAGGACAATAGGTAATCAATTGTATGAAAAAACAAGCTAAATACTCATAACAATTAACTATAATACTAATTAAAAGCACCTTTACTAAGTGTGGATGATGTTCTTCAGATATGCTGAGACGTAAACGAGACAACAATTGTTGGGAACTATTGCTTCCACTTGATGGGGTTGGAGGGAAAAAAAACAGAAACAAACGATCAAGAACTTCAAAGAAGAATCAAAAGGCTCAAACATGTAATCGTTGTCCTCAAATGATATTTGCCCCCTCTCGAATTAAATTTAGGTTCTTAAAGGGTTTCTGGCAAATGATTTGTAGGATTTATCAAGATTTGTAATAGAAAAAAACATTTATAAACACTTAGTGTTTTCTACCAAAACTTTAAGAACACAAGGAGGAATTTTGAAAATGAATGAAAAGAATTTTTGATCTTTTCTCTTTTTAAATAGAATATGATTTCAATTGGTTTCAATATTGTTTTCAATGTGTTTTGTGTTGATCATGAGACATCTATATATATGTGTCTCAATCAACACCCAAGAAATGACGCCAAAAATACACAAAAAGTTGCAAACTTTTCACCAAAGGCCACCAAAAATTCAAACTAAAAAACTAGCTTATTTTTTAGATCTATGCGGTTGCATAGAAGGAACAATTGCAAGGCCTGAAAGCCCTATATGCGTATGTGACCCCATGCCTTTTGGCCTCCAATTCTATTTCTCATTCCAAATCCTATTTTATTAATTTTGAACAATAATTTCAACAATCCCTTACTTGTTCAAAATTCAATAAAATCTCATATTCAAAATATACAATACTTATGTATAAGGATTAGATATCTTTCGATTTGAATATAACCACAGTATAATTCAAACAAAGTAAAGTCTTACATGTTCAAAAATTAATAAAGTCTCATTTTCAAAGTAAACAGTACTCATGCATAAGGATTAGATATCTTTCAATTTGAATCTAACCATAGTGTAATTCAAAAAAAGTAAAGTCGGAATCAAAGGTAGCATGAAGGTTTTGAACTAATTATTTCATATGACAATACCAATAAGAACATACACAGGTATTATGTGTTCTCAAGTTTCTCAATCTCGCTTAGTGCTCATCATTTTCAACAAACTTTTAAAAGAGAAACTCTTAACTCTCTATTGAGGTGGCACCACCTCGAAGTTCATCTAAGTGAAGTTCTTCCAATATTTTGTTACTTTTAGAGATACTTATACTTAGTACCGAACATCATTAAGAGTTTAAAGCTCAACCTTTAGCATTATATAATTAGGATGTGGTTATTGTGGATTTTATACTGTTGAAACTATCCACGTATCGAATGACTTGTTTTTACCCTTTGAACCTATGAATTACTTGTTAAGTAATGACATGTAGGGTTTCTATCTTTGGTGGATCTTTTGATCTAAGAGTTTCAACCATATCCTATTCGAAGTAGATGTTACTATCCAACTCAAATCATCAAAGGTTTATTTCACTCTAAAATTTAATATAAGTCTATTCCTAGCTTTCTGCATAATGATCAATATTTGAAGATCTATGGTTTGAGTATTCTGGTTAAGGGTGGCATCGGGTGATCTGGTTGGTATTTTTCAAGAATCAATCGAACTATTTGCTGATTGAAATTTTGTAAAGGGGAATGTTCATTTCCTGTATAGTTGTAGAATTGAACTCAATCAGATCCGTTTAGTTTTTTTAATCAGAACCCTATATTTATGGTTCGATCAGTCTTATTGTGGCTCTATAATAACAAAAAAATAAACGTAGGATATGAAATTCCTTTTTATTTTTTATGTATTAGTGAATGTTGTAAGATAAATTCAAGCTAAAGCTAGGGGAATTCTATAATCTATTAAATCAACTCAACAATGACCAACAACTATAATTTCCAACACCTATAATATTTGTTATAAATATTCAAAGTTATCCCTTGAATATACAATCACTTGTAATTCAAATTCTTTAGAAAATACATAAAAAGAGACAATGATATTCAATGACGTGAAATATCTGTTGATACATATTAATACTTTAATAATAATTTGAACTAATTAATTCAAGATCTAGTTCGAATTCAGTTCGAATAGATAGAGTGAAATCGTTTATCCCTAATTTGGGTATTTTCATAATTGTACAATACGGTCGAAAATCGTCAAGTTGATGTTTATCATGACCACATGATATTCAACTTTACCGTGCTGCTGGTTCGACTCTTTTGTATATACTAGTTTGTCGCCCATGCAATGCACAGGTTGGATTATTTTGAAGTGATGTTAGCGTTTCTAATAATGATACGAGTTTAGTGATTAAAGAAGAAACCAATAACTTATGAAGGTAATAAAATGAGGTAAGTTATTATATATCTGCACATTTGGCCAAATGCTTCTATTCACCATATGCTTAAATAGTACTTCAGCTTCAAGAAGTCGGCCATCCTTGCATAGACAATTTAATAGAGAACCATAGGATATGACATTAGGCCTCAACCCATTATTTTCCATTTCTTCAAGAATTTGTAAACACTTCTCAAACTGGCGACTCCTCCCATAACCGTCAATTAGAATGTTACATGACTGCACACTTGGACAAATTTCTTTCTCCCTCATCTTCGTAAAGCTGAAATAAGGCAGTATATTAAGACCTTGTGACTCCTCTATACATTGAATCA